TATACTTTTCTGCTGGATGGTTAAGACCAAGGTAAAGCAGGACCTATGCAACAAGAGTTGTAGCTTTTGGGTCTGATAAGGTCAGTGAAATCCCCTCAGGATTTATCCTGAGATCCTGTACCTCAGATTGTGGAACCTTTGTCAATGTCAGCCATGTGGATGAGTCACGGCCATTACTTGGCCAATGTGCTCTCTGTGAAAGCCTGAGAGAATGTTTTCTCTCCATGTGATTCTCCTTAACACTCTACATCATTGATCACCTTCCTCCTTGGCCCCATAATCTCCTTGATCAGAAAATTTGGGACACTACTGAGTTACATGATGTAACGGTACAAGTTCTCATATGTCCTGAGTCTAAATTGACTTTGGAAGGCTAGAGCCAAAAAGTTGGCTTTCCTTGCAGCTCTCCTTTTTCTCTAATTTTAGTCTGCAAACTTAAGTTGTTAACCTTCCAGAAGACAAGCTTATTGTTATTACCATACAACTTAGGCTGTTAAGCTTAACCTCACTATCTGTCTTAATATCAAACATCTTAGACATAACATGGAACAGATATTTTTCATCAAGTATTGATATGTTGAATATATTCTTTAAGATCAGGAGAGGCCATGGTGTCTGTAGGTCTCATCAAATCTTGGAGCCAACTCTAGGAATTCTTTTTTTTTTTTTTTGCGGAACTGAGAATTGAACTCAGGCTGTTGCACTTGTCAGGTAAGCACTTATTCTACTGAGCCATCTCCCTGGCCCCTCTAGGAACTCTGAAAGCCATTTAAAAATATGATCATTAGATTTTGTTTTTTTATCCCTACTCCCAGTATTACTATATTCTGTATTAGTCAGGGTTTTACTAGAGGAGCAGATATAATACAAGGAACAGATAGGACACAAGATGTACAAATGTATAAGAAATTATGAGATTGGCGTATGACAATCAGCTGCAGAGTTGGAAGAGGAAATGTGCAAAGGTGTCTGCACACTGGAGATTGAAGGATTTAATCCCACGGTCTGAAGCTCACTGCAGTTTTTTGTGTAAGTCTGTGTCAGTTGGCCAGTGGGTCTGTGACAGAAGGCTGAAGGATCCAAGCTGGAGGCTGAAGAGTCTGTGCTGGAAGCCAGGAGATGATGTCCAAGCTGACTGCGAAGTCTGAAGTTCCTCCGAGGAAGTGGGATACCAAATCTTTTCTCCACTCCTTTATGTCCCCTTTTTGTGCTCAGTTACTCTGGCCCCCGGGCCTAGCTTGTGGAACTGTCTAGGCCTTCCAGCCAAGTTGACACCATGTACTGGCCACAATGTTGGGGAAATACTATATGTAGCCCATAGTGGCCTCCAGCTCACAGAGTCCTCCTGTCTTAGCCTTCCAAGTGCTTTGATTAAAGGCCTGCATCACTATACCTGGTTTAAAACTTTGTTTTTGTTAATTGTTTGTTTTGTCATCTTGGTGATTGGACTCAGGATGTTATGCATGCTGGTGAGGACTTCCAACTGAGCTATACTCCTGAACTGGGTCAGCCAATGTAGTCCAGTTCTGTCATTTAACCCTGTAGTATCTGGAACTATGCGTGTGTACCACTGTGCCCAACTTCTTTTTAATGGAATGATTTTTATTTTGGGTTTTCCTAACAAATTTGTCATCCCCAAAAAAGGACAGTTGTGTGTAATGATTAGTACTGAACATTATTCATGTAGTTTTTGAGCTAGGAATACAGCACCTAAGTATAAAGAAGAGTGAGCATATCTGACAAACTCAGTGATCACTGTTTTCAAAAAGCTTAAAATAATGACTAGGCAGTCTTACAGTTGAGCTGGAATGTGACAAAGTCACTATTTAGATTTTCAGATTGTCCCAGAGTTGGCCATTGGAACACTTTTCTGTGACTTTGTGGCTTTTTCTTGTTTGAAACAGTCCAAACAACAGACAAACCATTTCCTTACTAGGCTATATTTACACTCATGTTCTACTTGTGTGTCAGCCTTGTATCTGTTACTTCTGGCTCTGCTGGTTCCTTTTTTTTATTTTAAGACAGGGTTTTGCTATATAGTTCAGGCTGGCCTTGAACTAACTATGTAGCCAAGACTAGCTTTGAACTCTTCAGTCCTCCAGGTTCAGTAGAAATGTTAACTCAATTGTGGTCAAATTGAAAAGGGAAAATTTCTACATGTTTGTGAAGATTTAATTGCCACAGGTGTAGAATAGCTTTTCCAAAATGCAGTCTAAAGTGCTGGGACTACAGATGTGCTCAAGTCTTTGTTTCTAGATATTTCAGTGGACAGTGCTAGGATATACATAGTGCTTGCATACACAGAGAAATGGGCGAATACACACATACACCTGTGTACCTATACATGCATGCACATGTATGTTTTACAAATCATGAATTCACATTGATACTTCCAAAAGGTATTTTCTTGTCTTCTCTATTTCATATTGATGTCTCTTTTGCATAGTGATGTCTTGATATCAGTGCATCTATTAATTCATTTTATTGTGTAGTATAAAAAATGGTCGCAAAATTGCTTGTCCATACCATTAAACAGTACAGTGAAATAAAGGGATCAGAGGTGTTTTCAGTTGTACTTCTGTCTTGCACTACTGTACCACTACTTGCTATGTAAAACTGAAGGTGTGTGGTCAAGTACTATCATCGTAGATTATTATTATTTTTTATTTTTTAATAATTTTTTTTTTTTTTTTTTTTTTTTTTTCGGAACCAGGGATTGAACTCAGGCCCTTGCGCTTTCCAGGGAAGCACTTATTCCACTGAGCCATCTCTCCGGCCCCTGTAGATTATTTTTATTCATCAATTTAGTTTGTCCTTCATTCTTCTCCCTTTTTCCTTCCTCACTTTGAAATTGGGTACATTTCTTCCACTACTTGTATTTTATTTATGGTTATATAATTTAGTATGTGTTACATGTTCCCTTATATGTCCCTTTGCTGAGAGGTCATATAGCAGTGGTATGTATAGTCTTGGACATTTTTTTTTGTTAACAGTTCCTTCAAATTAGTACAGTTGATAGTTTTCCACATCTTTCATTTTGTTGAGCCAAGATATAATTCTCATTACAGTCTACGTTTTAGAGGCCAAAATTTTAATGTATAAATGTTGACTCAATTTGAGCAAATTGAAAAGGTAAAAGTTTCTAAATGTTTGTGAACATTTTAATTACCCCAAGTATGGAGTAGCTTTTCCAAAATACTGTCTTTCTTTGCTTGTGCAGCAGGAGGCAGCAGAGGGATAATGATCATAATTCTCTGAATGTGTATTTGTGGATGAATAAGTGAGATTCTTTTTATTAACTGAACACATCACTTTTCAAAATCCTTATTTTATTCTATAAAAAAACCCACAGTGAATAATCACTCACTTTGGTTATTCAGTATGACATAGCAGGTTTTGCCTAAAAAAAAAATAGCTTGATGTCAACACATTGTTAAGTCTTCCTTTCTAGTCTATTAATATTATTGTGCAGGATTTTCTTTTAAAAAACAGTGTGAGTGATCAAAAATTTTTGAATTAAAAATAAAAGCATTACATCAAAGGGCATAGTTTTAGGTTGTAATGTACTTTCACAAGTAGATTTTGTTGTAAACTCCTGAGGCTCTTGAAAATTCATATATTTAAATTTAAAAACAATTTTAAATATGCAAATGTGAATAATGACGTGACATTATTGTCATGGATCAGTGAAGAATGTAATCTAGGTTTATTGCTTTGCCACTGATAGTATCAGAAGCATATCAAAGTTAATTCATTTTGAAAATTATCTGGTTGATTTGCTTATATCAGATACGAGTAAGAACATGTCTTTAGGTTTTTTGTTTTTTTTTTTCTTTTCTTTTTCTCTTTTACTTCTTTTTAATTCTTTTGCTTTAGGGGTCAAACTCCGAGCATCGCACTTGCTCAGCCAGTGCTCCATCACTGACTGCAACCCTCACCTGCCCACACTTTCCTGAATACGAGTGACAGGGGCCAGGACTGTCACCCTAAGCTGTGTCCCTAGCACTTTTTTAGTCCTTTACTTTGAAATGAGATCTATCTGATTTGTCTAACGGCTGTCTACCTAATTGAGCCTTGGAGCGCTGGCTTCACATGGTGTACCACCACACTAGCTTCCAACTCATGCTTTTTGTTCCTAATAGCATAAGCAGTAAACTCTCCAAAGCAGACAGCTAGTGTATGTGTCATAGTTGATTTATGTATAATTTGTGCCACTTTTCTACTAACACAATTGAAAATGCAAATACAGCAAAATCTTTTGTTTATTTTTTTATGCTTCCTTTTACAATCTTTGTGGAGGAATTAGGAGGACAAAACATCCAATTTGCTAGCACGTCAAATATTTAATGTTAGGAAGTCATTTCTAAGCCCTTTGATTATGTTTTTAAAATTTATTTGTAGAACAGCTGCCAGATTCCAAATCCTTACCATTTCAGAGTTCATGAATTCTTAAAAACTTTTCATCTTGTAATTAGAAACGTAGTTGAGCATGAAACTGCCTGAATGGCACCAGTAGATTATAAAAAAGGAGCAAAAGTGTCTCAGTAGGGCTTTGAGCTGTTTTGTCTGAAAGACACTCATGCAAACATTCCCATCCACAGCCATCATGCGTGGTAAGTAAGCGCCTCTAATAGCCTGACAGCTGAATAGAAAATGACTTTCTGGTTCTCTCTCTTCTCCCCTAGTTGATTCGCTGTCATCAGTCCCGTGGTGGAGCCTGTGGAGACAACATTCAGTCCTACACTGCCACAGTAATTAGTGCTGCTAAAGTGAGTACTTCAGTGGTCTCTGGGAGTTGCTTATGTCGTATTGAAAGTTCCCTTCCCGAATTCTACAGAAATTGCCCTTCCACTTTTATTCATTAATGTATAATAATCTTTACGAAGTAAATTTTTTTTTCATTCATGAGAATTTGTGATTGATTTGACATTTAATTGTTTAGGGTTAATAAATTTTCTATTCTAATGATTGTAGGGTTTGTACTTAGATCTCTTAATTGGATTCAAAGGGGGAAACTGATTAATGCCATATTTGAAGGAAGCTTCATTGTTCTAAATAGCAACTTCTGGAATCTTTTTCTGAAGTTTGTATCATTCTACCTGATATCCCTGTGCATTTGAGTCTTGTTGACATTAAAAAAAAAACCCAGAACTATCATTCTTTATGAAAAATTGAGTCAATCCCCTGGCACACTCAAAGATTCTTTCATTTTAGGGGGCTGCCCCCCTTCATGTTTGGCAAGTGAGTTCTTTTTTTGTGTGTGAGGGTTAATTTTGATGAAGCCTGGTAAACTTTATGCTGATTACAAGGTACTCTTATAACCACTATCCTTTTGAATTGTGAAGTATACAACAAAACAATTCTAATAATAGGGATGACAGAGTGAATCTAAATGACAGCATGTAATAGAAAGCACAACTATTCAGAAAAGAACAACAGTTTAAAGTAAACCACAGAGAGCAAATCAAAGGTCACACTGTTTTATGTAAAACAAACACAAAAATACTTCAAGATTGATCACAAATGGTTACATGATGTGCTTTAGAATATGTTCCTTTGTTTGATGAGAGAAGAATTACATACTTTTCACTCAAAAGGGAAATAATGTCTTTACCCTTACAGTACTGTATATTTTAGAAACTTATGAAGAATATTTGCTTTTCTCTATTGTGTATGCAGAAATAAAGATGATTAATTTTCAGTGGTATTCTGTTAGTGTACCTGTAACTTTTATTTTTATTTTTATTTTTTGTACCTGTAACTTTTAGCAGTGAGATTTTTTCACTCCTTTTAGACTTGTCTCACATACATGAGTCCATGTAGCCCACAGTATTAACATTTTTAAGTAATTTTCAGTTACATAGTGGATAGCTTTTTGATTCTTGTTTGGTATTATGTGTTCATTGTGCTTACATCAAAAGAAAGTGATAGCTTCATTCAGTGAGTGTTTCACTGTGGAAATGTTGGAAATGAGACTAAAATTAATACATCTTGAAAATAACGAGTCTAAACTGTGTTCCTACAGCTTAGTATTGGGAACTGAGACACATAAACTCAAGTCTTCTACATTTAGACTCTAAGTAATCATGTTTAATACAACACCTTAATGTAATTGATTTCTCAAATTCCACTGGTTGTCAATGAGTGGTTTTAATTCATTATTTGATGATATATAAACATTTTCCATTTGATTTTCAATACAGTGGGTAATATTTAATTTTTTTTGGGGGGGGTGGTAGTGCTTGGGGTCGAACCCAGGGCCTTTGCACTGACCCCTGGGCCTTTTAAAATGTGTGGTTTTTTTTTTTTTCTTTTTTGTTGTCCTGAAGATTAAACCCTAGGCCCTCACACTGAATGACTTCTCTAACCTATCTTTTAAATTTTGAGACCTGATCTCACTGACTCACTGAGTTGCCCTGTAAGCCTTGAAATGTGTGTCTGCCTCAGATTCCCAGTGTGTTGAGATTAGAGGTGTGCGCCATCAAGCCCAGCTCCCAGTTGTTTGATGGGATATCACTGTGTAGGTTAGCCTGCTATTGAACTGATTCAGATTTTCAGAGTGTTGAGATTATAAGTATGTGTCAACTCTCCCTATTTTTATATTAATACATATTGGTGGTTGTGAATTTACAAAATGATGACAATAATAGAGCAGTGTACATTAAAGTTACCCACTTCCTAATAGCCTTTGTTTGCATAAATGGGTAGTTTAATTTTTATTTATTTATTTATTTTTATTGACATCAGTTATTTTTATTTTAAAGAAAGAAAAAAAATAAAAACAGTGGTACAAAATCTCAAAACAAGATTTTAGGAGAGTAACAATGGTTAGTACATTGTGTGTTGTTATTGCCAAAGTAGTTTCTCATATTACAA